GCGCTACAACACGTCTTCTCACAGGGGTGGATTGGCGCCCAAGACACTGGCAGAGACTTTGATTTCCACCGGGGCATATACGTATGCCTCGGCCTTCTTGGGACTGGTAGTGGCCGCTTTTGACCTCCATGACGATTTGGCCTCTTTTGATTTGGCGTTCCTCGGGCTCTTCCTCGCTGTGACGCTTGTGGTCGCGTCCTTAGTGCTTGTGATCCTCGCTTGGGCCGATTTGTCCAGCGCGAAGAGGAAGTTCAGGCCTGTGTCCCCAGCCGACATCGAGATCGAGTTTCCGCCGAAATCGGAGATCGATGTCGAGTTGGAGGTGATAGCGCATAGCTTCAGAACGTACTCCAGGCAATTTATCACCACACTTGTGACCATGTGTTCTATTATGGTGTTCTACATGTTTTGTTATGCCGCCATAATGCGTGGAGCGAATGATGATGCTAACATTGCCCTGTCTGTTTATACGCCATTGCCTTGGAATGAGGCAATATGTTGGCTTGTTGCCCTTGTGCCAGTGGCTCTTATTGCAGGGCTTGCTATCGATTATGGCCTTAAGGTGGCGCTCGCGCGCATTACCGCCATCGATCGGGACGCGGTACCTGGCCCATTTGACGACCTGTTCCTCGCCTTAGTGCAGATGCTGTTCAACACAATAATTCAAGCCTTGGCTAAGGCAATGGTGTGGCTTCTGGGCATGGTCATTCAAGACATAATGTTAAGTGCGTTGCACGCTGCTGTGACGGTAGAACGTCTGAGCAGTGTTGAGAAAGTCTGTGTCGCGGTTGTTTATGCCGTGGGCATGAGCGTCATATCTTTTTCTCTCACGCTCTGTACTTCGAGCGTGATCGTGAATGTGGCTTGACGTGCAAGCTGCCCCTTGATACCTCAGGCACACGCGCACTTTCCAAGAGCTGCTGCACTGATTGCGTGCACCAGGCGTTTTTTCTGTTGCTGCTCACTGGTGGACTTTAGGTGGGTGAGTGGGGGAGGGGTATCGAAGACGCCTACTGCGAATCACCGCCGCCCACTGCCTTTCAGGATACGCCTATGTGGCCAAACGTCTGGGCAACGTTTTGCCACGATGTTGGGCCATGCGTTCCCCTAGCCGTTGTGGAAGCCATTCGGGGAACACGTGTGGGGGGGAAGAGGAGGATGAAGATGGGAAGAAAACAGGAGGATGAGGAGAAGGACGAAGAAACCAATTGGGAGCTTCTTGGGGTCATTCTTGGGGCCTCCTGGGAGCTTCCTGGGGGCCTCTGGGAGGCATCTTGAAGGCCTCTTTGGGCCTCTTGGAGACGTTTAGGGGCTTCTCAGGGGCCTCTTTGTCTGTCTTAGGGCGTTCCTGGCCTGTCAGACGCCATCGGAAGCCGTCTTGGGAATCTCTCTGGACCGTCTGGGGCCCTCTCAGGGCGCTTCAGGATCGTCTTGAAGGCCATCTTGTGCGTCTTGGAGGCCTCTTGGGCCGTCTTGGGAGCTGTCTCAGGAGCCTCTTGGGCCTTCTTGGTAATCTTGGGCGGTCTTGGGGGCATTTTGAAGCAAATGCCAACATCTATCAAAACCCTACGGAAAATAACTGATGTGTGCTTCTTTTAGCCTTCTTGGAGGCCTCTAGGAGGCCTCCTGGGCCGTCTTCGGGGACTCTCGGGTGCTTCTTCGGGCGGCCTGGGCTCTCTTGGACCATCTTTGCGGTCTTGGAGACATCTTGGGACCATCTTGGAGGCCATCTTGGGGCTGTCTTGGGCTCTCTCGGGGCCATCTTGGCCGTCGGGGAGGCCATCTTGGCAGTCTTGGAGGCCATGTTAAGCGGGAATGCCGACGGGAGACGCAGTTGGAAGAGCTCTCCGGGTGGCCGGCGCGCTGCGCTGAAGGCCCAGGGGGAGTTCTAGAATAACCAAGCACCTCCTGAAGTTCAGCACGCCGGGCACCCTTGTGACAAGGAAACAGGGGGCGGCGGATCGAAGACGCCTACGGCGAATCACCGCCGCCCCTGAATTTTGGAATCGCCCATGTGGCCAAACGTTGTGACCAGAGCTCTGCCAAGCTATCGGACCATGTGTTCCCCCAGCCGTTGTGGAAACCCTTCGGAGAACGACCACCCTGCGGGTGATAAGGAGGTTGGAGGGGGAGGGGGGCCAGCAAAGGGCAACAGTGGTGAATGTTGCGTTGCAGCTCGCTCTTGGGACCATCGATCCCACTATCGATCTCACTCGATCGATCTCATTATCGATCTCACTCGATCGATGTCACTGTCGATCTCACTCTGGATCTCGCTATCGATCCCACTATCGATGTCCCTTATCGATATCACTCGATCTCACAATCGATATCACTATTCATCTCACTATCGATCTCACTATCGATCTCACGATCGATCTCACGATCGGTCTCACTATCGATCTCACTATCGATCTCACGATCGATCTCACTATCGGTCTCACCATCGATCTCACTATCGATCTCACAATTGTTTTCGTCATCGGTCTCACTATCGTTTTCGCACCAGCGGGACACCGGGACACTGGCGGGACACCGGCGGGACACCGCGGGCCACCGCCTGCCAGAGAGTGAATCATGTGGTCCGGCCGGGACCCAGCCACAAGCGGGACACCGGCGGGACACCGGCGGGACACCGCGGGCCACCGCTTGCCGGAGGGAGAATCATTTGGTCTGGCCGCGCATCAGCCACAGGAGACTTCCCTCTCGCCCGCCCACGCAGCTTCGCCTCGCCCGCACGCACGGCACGCACGAACACGAAACCGAAACCGATTTCCCGGTGGGGGGCTCTCCGTTCCACTTCGATCTCACCCCCCAACCTCCGTCCATAGCATCGCATAGCATCGCACAGCACATCATGTCACAGCACAGCGTAACATAGCATAGCATAGCATAGCATCGCATCGCATCGCATCGTACCGCATCGTATATAATAGTATGCAATCGCATAACACAGTATGGCGTAGCATAGCATAGTCGCATCGCGTAGCATAGTATCGCATCGCATCGCATCACATGGCTTAGCATCGCATTGATAACATAGCGTAGCATTGTACAGCATCGCACAGCATATCATAGTTCAGCATCGCGTAGCACCAGACACGACGGGACACCGCGGGACACCGCGGGACACCCAGGCCACCGCCGGCCAACCGCGGGGGACACCACTGGACACCGCGGGACACCCCCGGGCCACCGTTGGCCAATCGGGGGGCGCAGCAAAATGTGGCCTGGTTTTGCCGTAAGCACAGCTGGTTCATTCTTCTCGCCCGCCGACGCAGCTTCGCCTCGCCCACACGCGCGACACGAACACGAAACCGAAAACGATGTCCTGGCGGGGGGTCTCTTGTGCACTTCGATTTCTTTCCTAACCTCGGATTCTATCACACCACGGGACACCCCCGGGCCACCGCTGGCCAACCGGGGGGCGCAGCAAAATTTGGCCCGGTTTTGCCCCAAGCACCGCGGGTTCATTCATCTAGCCCGCCGACGCAGCTTCGCCTCGCCCACACGCGCGACAAGAACACGAAACCGAAAACGATTTCTTGGCGGGGGTCTCTTGTTCACCTCGAGCTCTTCCCCAACCTCGGATTTTACCTGCTTGCTGCGGAGACAATCGTTTGTTTAGCTCTGCCGGGCCCCTCCTTCCCCCCCATCCTGGAGCCCGAAGACGGCCCAAGACCCCCAACACGGCCCGGGGGGTTCCAGAGTCCGCCCAAGAGGGCCCCAAGAGGGCCCCCCCCCAAAAGTCCCAACGGGATTTCAAGAGAGGGCCAAGAGAGTCCGCTGGGCCGTCTTTGGACTGGCTTGGGGCGTCTTGCGGCCGTTTTGAGGCGGTCTCTGGCTCAGGGCGCCGTGGAGCCTTGGAGCAAAGTGCAGAGGGCGCGATTTTGTCAGGATGCGCGCGGCAGGGGGGCGTCGCTCCCAGAGAACAGCAGAAACATTTCCCGAAAGCCAGCAAACACTCTCGCACGGCCCCAACGTGCCTGCGACAGGGTGGCGGAGTTTCACTGTTGGCGTTCGATTGCTCAGCAATGGAATTGTTCGGCGCCTCAATATGTGTGCCGTTCGCGCCAAGGCGTGTCAGGCTGCAGTGATGACTTGCAGGTGACGTCCGCCTGCGGTCAGCCCAGTGAACTCGATGCACCTTGCGCGCACATCCTTGTGCACATCTTTGCGTTCCGCGATGAAAACTTATGTTTGCTCAGAGGTTTCGATCCTCGGGGTCCGACAGGGGGCAAGAGAACTCTTACAAGAAACACCATGTCTATACACACACATATATATGTATATGTGTATCTATGTGGCGGTCCAGGGATCGATGTTGATTGGATGTATTTTCCCCACATCCATTGTGGGTTTTTGTTTTCTCTGGACACCCCGCGCAGGAACAGGAACACCCCCTCCATTCTCACACACACATTCACATACTCACATCATCATCGTCATCACCGAGCCATCAACATTTACACACTCGCACGCACTCTCATTATCCAAATCATTCCCTCACCCACAACTACTACTCATCACATCATCATCATCATCATCAACATCATCATCATCATCATTGCCATCATCGTCACCACCATCATCACAAACTCATCGTCAACAAAGCTTCGTCTGTGAGTGAATTGCGAGGAAGTCTCAGTCGGGAATTCCCTCATTATGGGGTTCGCCGCACATGTTTTCAATCTGAGCGGGCCATCGGAACCTTGTATTTGTCGTCACTTTGGGGCCCCTGAGGCCTTCATCCCTTTCTGCTTCACCCTGAATATCTTGTCATCGTTGCTGCGAGGACGCTCTTGAAGGCTTCAGGCACCTTCTATGAAGAAGCATGCATGTTAAATTACTTCGACGGAGGGACCCCGCATGAGAATATGTTCAGTTTGCCCTTAGCCCTTTCCTCTTCGCTCTGGCAGACACCCTTCTCTCACCCTCTGCTCTGCCCTCTCGTCCTCCTCCTCCTCCTCCTCCTCGTCCTCCTCCTACTCCTCCTCCGTAGCAAGTTTGGCTCAAGCCATCCTCTCCGGGGCGCGCGCGTCGGCATGTCCTTTCTCCGCTGGTGGGCTACGTGACCAGCGGATGCGCTCCAAGAAGAACAGGTACAACTGCTTCGCGGCCCGTGTCCGGCTGGTGGAGAAAGGCACGTACACCAACCTCGACTCTAGCCTGTATGCGTCAGCTCTTCGCCGTCACGCGTTCCACTGCGATTTGCTCGAGCACAATGTGCGCTTCCCGTCGCAGGCTCTGTCGCTTACCCGGCCTCTTGTGGGCCAACGGATCTGCAAACGTGATTGTCGCCTTTTTCGTGCTGCGGCCGCTGAGCGTCATAATGTCTTTCGCCATCCTGCTGGGACCAAGCGTTGGGTTCCGGTTGTGCCGTCGTGTGCGCTGTCATATTCTGCGAACTGTGGTCTGAGATCTGAGACGTGATGCCCCTGTGTTTGTTCCTGGTGTTGTGGGCAGCTGGGCTTCTATGTCTCTGCCTCTTCGTATTCCTGGCGACGGCTTGTTAGATGAAGATTTTGTCTCTTTGGGGTTCTGCTGGCTTCAACACCAGCTTGATCAACTCTGGTCGTATGCTGCTCAGTGGCTTGCTTCTTTGGGCGAGTGCGCGGAATCTTGCTTCGAGGCGCGCAAGGGCTACGTGCTCATGCAGGTCGTCGAGCAAATGACCGAGCGCCAGCTTCCGAAGCTCAGCGACTTGGAAATCATTGTTTCGACTATGCTTGGAAATCGTGATTTCAATCAGCGGCTGGACAGCTTGTTGGCTGAAGTCAATGACAGGATCGCAGTCTTTCGTAGCACGGTGCTTGACAATGTTCGGCGCGAGTTCTCGGACGCGCTCGCGCAGCTCAAGGGGCGGATCAGCCAGCTACCGCAGCTTGCCGAGTTTCAGTCACAGGTGGAGCGCCTGATTGCTGCACTGCCCGCGCACCAGAAGGATGTCGAGACCCGCGTGGGCAGTATTTTTCGAGATGGTGCCGCGGCGCAGCAGGCTTTCTTGGAGGAGGCTGTGCTCAGGGTGCAACGGTGCGTTGTGGATCCTTCCCTTGCTACGGTTGAGAAGTGGGCGGCCCTGCCGCTGTCCACCTTGTGGGGCGACTGCCGGATGCTCATCGACAAGCACGCAGCGTCAGCCAACAATTTCGTTTCCTCGACTCGCGAGGGCGTTGTGATGGAAGTGCACGTGTTACTGGAGAATGTGTCTACCGACATTATTGCGCTGAGGGGCTCGGCGACTTTCGTGCAGAAATGCAAGGCTGAGTTCTCGCAGTCTGCCATGCTGCGGGACGCGGTCCAGGACCCTTCCACGAAGGTGTCCATCCACGAGGTCGCCATCCAGAAGCTCACGGCGCTTATCGGCGAAGTGGCCGCCCACTCCCCGTCGACCGTCGTCGACGCGGCTTCGAGCGAATTCAACCTGTTCCTTGACTCCGTCGCGCTGGCCTCCCAGGTGCGCCAAGTGTTGGGGCAGATTCACCCCGGCGCCCCTGTTCTCCCTCCTAGAGCTAAACACGTTGAACAAAAACGCTACAACACCAGTCTGACGCCGGCCCGAAGCAGGCCCGGAGGCCCCATGCCCCAGCAGGGGCAATCGACCATCGGGGCCGCCAGATTGCACGCCAGACTGCACGCCAGGAGAAGGAATTGAGGACCTCCCAGATGGCAACGTTCACCATGCAACCAACTGATCTGACAAGGCTGACAAACGTAGCTGGCACAACAATCATATTTTGTGTTTCAGCATGTCTAGTTTTGCTGCTGGGGCTTAAAAGCGCTAGACAAATTGATTTCCAACCCGACGAGATAAAGCCGATAAAAATAAACGCCTTGGGCATATTGTAGGGGCCTTCGGCCAGTGCCGCCGATCCGGGTCGCTTGGGGTGCCCCTAGGCACCACTTTGCCGACAGACGCGCACGCACACGCACGCACGCACACATACACACACACACACTACACACCCACAGACACACACCACACTCTCACACGCGCGCCACCTTCGCAGGCACATGCACACGCACACGCCGGCATCATACACACATACACACACCAAGCACACCGCACAAACACACACACACACGCACGCGCGCACGCACGCACGCACGCACACACACACACACACACGCACGCACGCACGCACGCA